TCAGGAAGAAAAAGGTAGCATGAATCCTGATCACTAGAGGAGAAAGTATATTAAACAAATTGAAAATCATATAATTATAAACCATCGTAGATCTTAAATGTGTGTCGCTCATGCAGTTTACTCACCGACAGTATTGTCATTCAGGCTGCAAAAAATAGACATTGACAGAAGTGTACCTATTCTTCACTAACTCTTTAGAATTTGCAGGAATAAGGAAACTATAGATTTCTTTTTCAATATTTAGCATGGAAATAAAGAACCTCCTGCTTTTTAGCCATTAAAATCTCTAAGTTTTGTCTACTGAGTTTTTCTTCTATATTGTTTCATGGATGCAAAAGAGCAGCTAGAATTTCTGCATCAGAATTATCCTGAATTTCAGTTTCAGTCAGAACAGCAATGATCATACTGCCCAAACCTGCTATTTCACAGATAAGGCTGACAGAGTTTAAAAGAATGTCCAGAGTAAGAACTGAAACCCAACCAAGGCTAGGACTTGGGGCTTTTTCCATTACCCTAGGCTTGATCTAAGGTCAGCTCTATCTAAAGGCAATGCACATTCAGTTTTGTAGTTTTATCAATGGAGCCAGATAAAATTACAGCCCTCTTTCTGGTTCAGACCAATGAGACCATCTGAGGTCACACTATTTCTGCCTCCACAGCTTCCTGGATCAGCACACAACCAAAATACCAGTACCAAAACAAGAGGTGGGAGAAATTTTAAAGAAAAATGGATAAATGATTTCTTAGGGGAAGGAAGAAAGAGTAGACTCTCTGAATTGACTGAACTTTCATTAGCCACAGGATATACCCACATGAAAAAAAGTCACATGCCCAGTGAGATCAGTACTGGACTTCTTAATCCAAATTGTGCTTTCTTTAAGGGAGAGTGAATGCAAAATTGCCTAATCTCAACATGGAACTGTCTGGCAATAGGAGAAGTTGAAAAGAGAGTTGGGAATCACTATACCATGATACCTGGATGCACCATATTTCAAGCTATTGTGTTGGCTGTACAAAGCCCCGAATTTTTGCCAACTCCCTTTAATTAATCTTGTCATAAGTTCTATGGTGAGGTGGGTGAACTTTCAAACATTAAGCAGTGGAATGACTCACCAGGTGGCTTTTCCCAAACACCCCCAAACCCAATTAAAGAGTTGTATTTGGTTTGGGTTTCCTCAAATGGTGCTCTTGTTAACACTCATCAAACACAGGAAAAATAAAACAGCAATTTAACTGTGCCCACAGTGTGAAAGGCTTGTGCAAATAATCAGCACATTTCTAACTGGTTAGTAATAGGCAGAGTGCAAAAAACAAATGACCAGATTTATACCACTGGGCAGGTCTGAAAGCAACATTACAGCTGAAATATATTCATTTACAATTTAAAGCAAGCCTTTCAGTGAATAATTGTTTACATAATAGTGAAGAGCACTTGTGCTGCACAACTGGGATCCATTTACAATGTGTTAACCAAATAATGCATGTTTACAAAAGATTTAGAGTTTGTTTTTGGAGAAAAGAATCGCAGTACCCATGCCAACAAAAGCAGAGCAGTGTGTACAGTTAGTAAATCTTTTCTTAGCTGCAAAATTAGTGTCAAGTTGCTTGAGCCCGTAAACTACGTCAGCATAAGTCACTCATTAAATTGATGTGTGAAGGTGGTATTCTTAAACAGCAGGTTGCTCCATTCTGAATTTTTTAAAAATCAGGCAAATAATGAGGTGGGGGTAGAGTTGCTTAACCAGGCCAAGGGAAAAAGAAAGCAGAATCATCTTAAAACGGCCATCCTGGATTTAATAGCCTACAACAAAACCCTAAGCAGGTCAACTTCATGGTTCAGCAATTCCTAAAAGCCTTGTCTACTTCTCCAAAGCTTATCGGTGACGGCTGGTGCATAAGAGCTCCCAATGAGGACTGATTTACAGCACTGAAGGGCTTTGTGGTGACAAAGGAGGGTCAGGGTCCTTCAGTGCTTTCTGTATTTTTTAGATCCCAGAAGATGATGTGGTTCTGTGATTGGAATCTCTTACACTTTTGCCATTGACATAAACAGGTCACAGTGCCTGGAAGAGCGTCTGCAGGAGTCAGAAGCAGTCTCTCTCCCCTGCCCCCCATCTTTTTTTCTAGGTCAGAGTCAGATTTTATCGAGTCAAGCTATCTAATTGAACACAAACCATGTGATGGGGCCCAAACAGAGTGCATTAAAAATGAAACAGAAGGAGCCAGGTTGGTCTCAGTGCTAGTGCTGTCACAGGGATACATTCCAGACATCCTTGAATGCAAAAAAAAAAAAAAAAAAAAAAAGGTTGTTTTTTTTTTTCTTTCTGCATTGACAAAAATCTGTCGTTCAGGAGGAGAAAAGTTGAGAATAAAACACACACACGCGCAGGCGCGCATGCACACAAATCTAGTTTCATGCTAGATGTTTCTGTTGTGAAGCAATATGTTGGCTAAATAGGAAAAGTCAGGTGAGTTAAAGTCTCGTGGCAGCCTGATTTAAACCAGGGCTACACAATCCAGAGCCCTGTCCAGATCTCAGGAAAGTGAATTATATATAATAACACTTACAGTTTCCTAGTACTATTAGATTTGCCTTCTTACATAAATGCTTAAGTTATGATAAAAAACAGGGCCATGTCAGTTCCTTTCAGTCTCAGCACATTTGCTATTAGCATAAGAAATGCTGCTTATGGCAGAGCTAGTCGGGCTTGAAATTTCTGAATTAATGGATTTGATTTCCTCTTGAGACAAACCATCAGCCTTGCAGTAATGGAAATAGATATAGTTGGTAAAACAAATAAAAAGCTGGCATGCAGATAAAATGGGTTTCAGTTTAAAATAGTAATGTTGTAATTGAAGTGAACAATTACAGGGTTGCTCCTAGGCACAAAAGAAATACCATGAAAATGAAGTAATGTTTTTGTTAAGTATAGTCATTTCATGAAAATGTAGAGCTGCAGATGTCATTGTCTGCCAAAGGGAAAACTATACTTATTCTTCTATACAGAGATCATTTAATAACATTTGGCTAATTTTAATAATAATTGCTAATATTAACCCTATATTTCACTGGGAGTTTGAAGACAAAGGCTCTCCAACCTCCCCACCACCACCCCACTCCTGTTCTCTTCCTTCCTTTGGTAGTGAGCCTAGGAGAGCAAGTTCCTGTAAAAAGCTATTGGCAATGAACTCTCAGAAATCCCCACCCCCGGCGGCAGCCCTCTCCTTTTTAATGTCTTATTTCTCTTTCTTTGTCAAGCATCTGTTATCAGAAATGGAGCCCGTTAGCTGGCAATGGGAAGTGGAGGAGGGAGTGAGAATAAAGGGGGGGGGGTTGGAGAGTGGGAACCCCAGGACAGCAAAGAGGGCTCTGGAATGCTCACATCTGATTCTCTTTGCAATTTTTTTTTTTCCTTTTTCCATTTTGGTCTGTTTCAACTTGTCTGTGAACCATATGAAATTCAGAACAGAAACTTCCATTTTTAGAACTCGAAATCTTTTCATGTTCATGTTCGTATACACACTAACAGAGGCAGCCAAGGCCACAGGATGTCACCAGAAACATAAGTGTCTCATCGACTCTGAAAAGACAGTGACACAAATACACTTTAACAAAATGCTCAGCTGGGTCTCAGCCCAGCCACCCTCCCTGCCTTCTCCTCCTCCTTTTTATTGCATTGCAGTGAAAGGCTTGCAGTGCGTTTCCTCCTCAGGTTGTAGTAATTAAAACAATATTGGAGCTCTGTGAAATTTTATTTGGAAATGCACTGTGCTTTGTTCCTCCAAGGCTGACTGGAGCACACAGACTGTTTGGTGTCTCTTTATCCAAGGGAAGTGCCTTCTCCTGAGGTTGGTAATTTTTTTTTTTTCTGTCTCAACATTGAAGAAGCCACAGAGGAGCCAGACAATGAAAGGTCCCCCTAACAAAGGATTGAGCTGTGACTTCTTAAGAGGAAAGGTTAAATCGACCAGCTGTGTGTCTTAGAGTGAAACCTGAGAAGGGCCTCTTCCTTTTTTACTCAGCCAGTTAGAATAATTCATTTCCTAAGGCAGCCTACCTGTGACAGTCACAGGTGACCTCCCCGCCTGCCAAGCTCCGATGATTTCCCCTTCCCCGTTGCCCAAGTACAACTCCTGCCAGAAGACAAATGTACTGCAAGCCAGAGACATATCTGTAGTGCAGAGGAAAAGCAGTCTGTCTACATATGTCATTTTAAAGCCTTGCGCAGAGATTTTACTGCTTTCTTCACACTCTCACACTTACATAAATACACCCACACAGTACGGGCAAGCTCCCCAGACTCCCAAACGTTTCCCTTCCATTAGGAGACATTTTAAAACAAATTAGCACCCTCCCCAAAAGCCTATTGGCCTAAATGTGTTTATTACTTTGTTTGCTGTTTTAAAAAACTCCTAATGGCCTCCAACAAGACTGGGGAGTTCCTGCAGAATTCAGCACACAGTTGGTCTAGTGAGGAACATACACATCTGACAAAGACTTACATCTTTTTTTTTTTTTTCCTCTTGACACAGCGGCTGGTGACACATAAATGTACTTTTTTCTTTTGACAGAGTAATAAAAATCTCATTATCTCTGAATAGGCAGCAATTTCGTTATCTAATCTTTTTACCAAAAGGTTAGTTAATTAATCAGAAACAAATCCTGATTATTATTTCAATAGAATTAGAAAGACAAATCACCAGAGTGCAGCTAAATAGGGCTGGCCTGCGGTTTCACCTGCTCATTGCCATGCAGGCCCCGTGGCTGTCAGGGCTCCTCCAGGCAGACAGCCTTCGGAGCGGCAGCCAGCAGATGGCTGCTCCGAGCGGCCAGCCTGCCTCTGTGCTAATGCCTGTGATCCCATTACCTCACTGAATCCGTTACCAGGGTAACTGTTAAATTGCTGTGAAAGGCATGGTAATAAAGTAACCTGTCACATTGGCAATAAAAGGAGCAGAATTTTCCTGTTCACTGAACTTTGCAGCTCATCAATACTCACTTGATGGAGAAATTCACCACTACTCCCGGGTCAGCCACAGGAATCCTTCCATAAGGCTTCTGAAATGCAAACGAAAGTTCATGTAAACACAGGGAAGATAGATTTAAAAGCTGCATTCTTAGCCGCGTGGAGCAAATGCTCTTCTCTTTCCTGGGGAAGGGTTATGGGAGCTAGAAAAACATCACATTTCCCTTTTGTTGTTGTTGTTGTTATTTTTAATTTAAAGCATGCTAGATAAAAATAACCTTTGCTAGTGAAAGACAGCTGTGATAAACTCAAGACTGGGAAAACAAAGCCCAAGGATTATATATATATA